GTGACCTTTAGAAACCACTTTGAGACAGACTCCAAGGAGGCTCTTCCTCAATCATCAGTCAATATGTTTTACTTCCTAAAGATCATATTGATGTGATTTCGAAGTGCTTTTGGTACATTTGTTACAAACTTGCTCTTACTGTTATTTCTTTAGACAAGAGTAGTGAAGAAGCAGACAGTACAAAGGAAGAAGCAGCTAAAATGGAAAAGGAATATGAAATCTCAAAGGATTCTACAAAAAATGAAGAACAAAATGCAGCAGGGTACAGTGAAGAGCCCAGAGGTACAAAATAGTCATTGCTTTTGCTCCATATGTATGCTCCAAGTGATTGGAATCTCTTCCATTCTTTGGTATTGTTTTTCCATTGCGTTAGCATAAATATCTTCAGGTTATTGTTACAGGGATTCAGCACACACCTTGATTTGGAAGTGTACTTATTTGCTTACTTTTAAATGTATGAATCTATATCCCTTGCTGAGTAAGGCCATAATCTTTCACAGAATTCATAACCCCTTTTGAGAGCAAGTTGAAATGCATTTTGACACAGCAGTGTAGAGAGATTTTTCTTCAACACCTTGAAAGGTACTGAAGAGTTCTGCAAAGTGAAACAATTTGCTTTACTCACTGCCAGAGGTTAAGGGTCATCAGAAATGGACGTGTTTTACATAAATTTGAAAACCTATTACAGTAAGTTAGTGTCTCAATAAGCAAACTTAGCACAGTAGTAGTTTTAGAAGGAGGATGTTTGTTGGGGCAGAAACCTTTCAGTAGGTTCTTCTTGCTAAGGATCCAGCATAAGAATTGATGTTTTGTAGTCAGTTAGTTTAAAAAAATTGCTTATAGTCTATTTTGCACTGATGCTGTTTTATGCTCATGCTTTTTTTGGATGCATGTGTTTTAGCTGCAAAATGCTTGTTAATGAACTGCAGTAATCAAGACTGCAGAAGACTGTAGTTCATTGGTCACCTGGTTCAGTCCTATCGGCAGTGCAGACTTACAAACTATTAGCCACTCACAGGTAGAAGTTGGCATTTTTTTCCAGCGGTGGTTATTTGACCATAGAAGAGGAAAATAGCTCAAGATGGCTGTCTAATTTCACAGTAAAGAAAAATGGTCTCAATACCCATGGGAAGTGATAAATAACGTATTTCATTTGTCTGTTGAAGATTTGTCTGTTCCATTTGGTCCAGGTTATTTTCCTACACCTTCAGAAAAATGTTCAGCCAAATAGCTTTTCAGAAATTTAAATTGGATCAGTATTTAGTTCTTTGTCTCATCATGCAGTGCCCTTTGCTGTTTCACAGAGTAACTTACTATAAAGCTAATTCTGCACTCCCAGCTCAAAAATTACAGCATATCTAATACTGTATCCACTTACTAATGGGACCAGACATGCATAGCTGGCAGTAGTAGCCTTCTACGTGCTAATCATACTAGCGGGTTTTTTTCCTGACAAATGTAAGAACATTACATCAATAAAGCTCCAGCCAAGTTAAGAATTCAAAATCCATTAGCTGGAATATTTCCTTAGGGGCCTTATTAGGTAATCCTTGAACTAATTCTGTCCTGTGTGCTTTCTGGTCCAAAAATAGCCATCACTTTAAAATTTCAGCTATAATAAGGAGTTACCATGGTAATTTTAATACATCCTTTTTCTCAGTAAATGTAAGTAGCTGTATTTCAGCTTGTCTTTCCAAAATATCATGATCTTTCTTAAATTTGCTGTATGCTGTTAGTACGAATGAATAGAGAAGTTTTCTAACACTTTGTATATGAGATACTCAAAGCTCTCAGTGTTATTTAAGTCAATCCTTGCTCTCTTAACAGCTTCATATTTGCTGAACAATTATTATGATAAAAAACCTAGAGGTTGCCTTTAATCCACATATGCAGTATTTGTGGATTGCACCAGAAGTTATGTATTTTTTATGAAAAAAGCCATGATCCTAAGTTTGTGGATGACTAATCTTGCACAGACAAAACCTGCTATCCATCTGTGGGAATTTTGCCTGACTAAGGTTGACAGGACTCAGCTTTTGAACTGAAACTAAGAATAGTTTTAATCTGCCTTTGCTGTGACCAACTTCGGTCAGTTAAGCAAGCTCTATCAATCATTGATGTGCCTGATTTCTCTCTCATCCTTTCCTCTAGGGAAAGCTGAGGCATATTTGGAAGCAATCAGGAAGAACATAGAATGGCTAAAAAAACACAATAAACAAGGTAACAAAGAAATAAATGAAGTAAAAAAACTTGACATTGGGGTGGGCAACATATACATTACAAAGCATGTAATTTAAATTGTATTTTATAACTTAGCATTATGTTTCAAGTTAAATAATAGAAATGTGAAACTGTGCTTGTCTAGGTTATAGTGATAATTAGTGATGTAGTTAAATAATACAGGTCATATAAAAGTAAAATCAATGAATGAAAATAGTAAACTAAGGCAAATTCATGTAAACTGGGTCAAACAGCCATTGGCCACAAAACACACAGTGACTAACCAGCTAGAAGGTAGTCATGTGCTGTCCAGATAGTCATGGTGGTCTGTGTGTCACCAGGTAACAGTACATCAGTTTTGTCTAGTGCTTCATTTCTTAATTCAACGTATCTTTTAATTATGATTTTATACATGAGGTAAATGTATTTTAAATGTCTGGATGTGTCTAGAAAAGCCCGGTGCATCTGTCTGGCAGTATGCCTGCCATCACAAATAGCAATGAGTTTTGTTTCATAACCATAAATAGTTAAGACAAACTTATGTCACTAGCACTGTAATATATTGGATTACAGCACAAATCAACTCTAATGACTTGCAGCTCTCACACGCAAAGCTGTGTAGAAGAGGAGCAGTGACTGAGGCAGCTGCACAGCGTATCCTCACCAGCTGCCCCACCATTTGACTCTTCCTCAGAGGCAGGGCTGTATGAGACCTGGAGGGAAGGAGCTAACAGCAGCAGGATTTCTAGCTTATTTTTCACAGATCTGTATTTATCCATATCATGTTTGCCCTCAAGATCTTACATAAAACCAGCCTCTCATCCCTTCTCTCTGCCATTGCTGATTCTTCTGCTGTCACCCACTCTGTAAGTGAAGGTTCCTAGCGAAGGGATCCAGCCCTGGGGTATGACTGGCACCTGGTGAGAAGGAGCCTTCTTGCACCAGCCAAGCAGAGGAGATCTGAGATGAGATTAGCCCTGGTAATCTAGCCACCCTCTCTGTGAGCTGAAGTGTACATCAATTACATTTCAGAGTTGAGCGCATGCCTACAGCCCAACACATTCAAGTTCTGTAATAGGAAGGACTTCTTAAAAAATTTTATACCTCTTAAAATTATTTCCGCACAATAGCAGCAATGTCAGTTAGCAAGAGACATATATATTTGCTCAAGAGCTGTCCTGACAATTCTACTAAATGTTTCTGTTTATTGGTGTACTCATTATAGTAATTAGATCTCAGTCATGTGTGATTATTTCTCTGTATCACACCTACTGACTGGGCAGTACCTCACTCCTTTTCATAGTAACCTTTCCTCTGCACTACTGCAGTCTGAAAATGGCTGTGACTGCAGATCGATAGCGTTTTGTCTGCCTGTGAATGCATTAAGATGTATGCTTTCTGCGTAGGTGGATTTTCATTTGCACTAAAATATCTTTATTGTCCTCTGGCAATGAAAATAGGCCTTAAAGTGAGTGTAAGTTATGACAGAATTAGAATAGTGTTCTTACTCTTCTGATACATTATCTTTATTGTGCCTTTCCATACTTTTATTTTTGTAAAATGCTAATTCAGTTCTCCTGGGATGATGTTGAAGGCAGTACAGTCAGGGGAAGCTTATCTAACTGTGAATGCATTGTGCTGTGTTTCTTCAGTACAAGATTAGGTGATATTGATGTGCTCATCAATCATTTCTCCACTTCCAGCTAACACCTGGGAGCTAGCGGAAAACTGATTCACAAAGTCATTTGTGCATTAAAATAGCCAGTCTTTTCCTATTCCTGGATTGTTTTACTCACTGAATATACTTTAAGAGGTTTAGGTTTTCTTCAGGTAAATGTTTGTAGATCCTTAACTTTGTATGAATTTTAGTAGAAATTATTATTCATTCAATGACTAATGAACCTGGAAATGTTAATTTGCATTTCCCAGTTTAAAAATTGCCTATTAAAGAGGCAAGTAAACTTGAGTAGTCTGGGTGATTTAAAGAGAAACACGTCCAAAGCCTACATTTTGGCCCGATTGGCTTTTGTGTCCAAAGTTTGTTTTGTGTATATGCAATATACAGGCTCTGTGGGCCTGTCCTCAATATCTCCCAGACCTGGCTTGATCTTTGAAACCAATGCTCTTTAAGACTAGCTCGTCCCCTGCGTAAATTAACATCACTGCCACCAGTAGACGTTGGCTGCTGAGTATTCTATTGCATTTAGTCTCCAGAGAACATAACCATGAGTAGTTTAACTAATACATGCAAATAGCATGTTTGGATTTTTCACAAAATACTTAGGTAGTTTATAGTTTCAAAACAGTAACAGTAGCCATTTAGTAATGAAAGTAAATTCTGTAATTAATTGCAATGGCAAATGGTTTGATTTGAATATGCAAATAAGACCTCACTTCATTTACTGTAGCTGTTTCACAGTTCAATGTAATGCTACAGCTGTTATGGTGAATATGAACCAAAGCTGATTTTTCAAATTACTTGCCCAAATTAATAGGTCGTAAATAAGTATTAAAAATTAACAGTTATCAATTTCTAGGAAAAAAATCAAATGAAATTGCCATGAGATACACAAAGTAGCCAGAATTGGATAGTATCTTAACAGCTGTAATCTCATACAGAATGCTTAGTAATTAAACCTTCACATCTCCATGTAATGATCTTAGATTCTAGAAGAAAAAGTAGCTCAGGATTTTTAATGTGAATAATGTGGATATTATATTAATTTAGTATTTGTTGTTCCATTAATTTCCATTCCACGGTACCTTTCACTGGAGACTCTCATTCTGTCAACATGAATGAAATCTCACAACCTCATTATTAAATTGCTTGGTACTATTTGTCCCTATTACTCAGATAGGATGGAGAGACAAACAGGTTACATTCTCTTAAGCAGTGCTGGTAACAGACCAGACGTGAAATCCTGGCCTCGGCTCAGCAAATACAAAAAATCCTGTTAGCTCAGATATGGAGAGGACACCTCTGCAGGAGTAGGGAATTTGGAATATCAATTTTCTAAGTATTACTCACTTGAAATTGCCTTGTACTCTTATAAAAATTAATTTGCTTCTTAATGTCTTTCTGTCTCTATTCAATTTTGGTCGTTCAACCATACAAAGACAGAAAGTCATTATTGTCTGTTTTGTTAAGAATGTGCAGTTTGAAAGAAGGCCTTTCCACTTACTGCTGCATGATGATATACATTGGAGTACGTTACAAAATCAGTATTAATATATTCTGAAGGTTCTGTCTGTGGAAGTAATCTATACTGAAAAAATCAGGATGTGTTAGTTTTGTGAAATATTAATTCATTTAAATTAATATGAACCCTTAAGACATTGATGTTTTCCAGACTACTAACTTGTGATTCTGACACATTAAGCTTCACATTTTATGCAGTAAATTATATAACTGAAACGTGTGTTGTGTTTATGTGAGAGTATACTGGGTCTGTTGCCAGACTTACGACTACACAAGAAGTTTTCTTTTTATGTTATTTGAAAGTAGAATTCTTTTCATGGAAAATAATGATGTTTTCCAGCATAAGAAGAGTGTATGTAATGTGTATGGTGTGAATCATGCTGCATAGATACAGCCATCTATCAGAAAAGGAGAAAGGGTCTTTCAGCACTGTATTGCAGATTGGCAAACAAAGACTGTCAAAGACTACTTTGACACTAGCACTGTCCTAAAGACTACTCACTGCAATATTTTTCATGTCAGAATATTATTATTATCAAGGTAAATAATTGTATTATTTTGATTTATTTTCAGGAAGTTGCTTTCTTGAATTTTCACTACAGGTGTTTGTACTAAGTGGGAATTTTACCGGGACTTCAATAGGAAACGGTCAATTTCATATTTTATTTTGAATCCATGACAGTTGTGAAAATAGTAGGGTTTTAACAACAGGTTTTGCATGCAGACTAAACATCAGATCTCTGGACCAGAAGCTATTCTTACTTTAGCATTTGCCAGCAAGCAATCAAGAACAAGAGATTATTATTTCTCTGAATGGTAAAAGCACCATGACATGTAAAAAGATTTCATGCAGGTGTTGGTTTATTTAAAAATTGTTTTTGCACATTGCACTTTTAGTGAACTCCCTTCATGTTGGATAAACTTTACAATGACGTTGTTTCTTAGGTGAAGCAGTATAATGGCAATGACTCATTGTGCAAATGAATTCTTATTTTTCAGACTATGATCTTTCAAAGCTGAGAGATTTCATTGATCAGCAAGCTGATGCTTATGTGGACAAGGGCATCCTGGACAAGGAAGAGGCTGATGTAATTAAACGCATATATGGCAGCCTGTAAAAAGCTAGTGGCTGCGAAACATGTAGAAAACTAGTATAGCTTTCCCCACTCCTGGCTCAATGACTTATGATTTGTTATTTTGAAGATATCATTAGAAATGCTCTGTTTACATTGTACTGACAACTTTCTAGACTGAAATGAAGAGCTGTAGTGCTCCATACACTGACTGCATACTGTATTTTCCTACTCACAAATCGATCCTAAACATCAAATTATGACACTGAATCTCTATTTGACAGGGTAATTATTTATGTAATGTTATCTTTGATTTATTATTTGTATTTGGTTTACTTTTGTAGTTAAACCAATAATTTCTGATGGAAAGTTCTTTTAATGCTACATCTTTTCGCTCTCCACTAGCTTTCTATAGATGCAACTATGTAAAGGGCATTATTAGAAAATAGTTCATAGTTCTCTAAATAAAATATTTGAAAATAATTTACCCATTAAAGTTTTCATTGATCTTAATATTATTTTATTTCCAGAAATCTTGTTTTTGAATCCTAATATCTTTGTATTTCTTGACCCTTTTTTATTTCTTTATGTAGTATTCTGTAACTTGGACTACAGTGTCCTTAGCTAACTGATACACCTTTGACACTACAACTGCCTTTCATATTGCAGAGCTGTATTCTCCCCGTTGTTGCATGTATAAAGATTCTCTTTGGTGCACCATTTGATGATTGTGCATGCATAATTAGTTGAATTCCTGATGTGAGTAGCCTGATAGCAAGTGTAAATAGCCATTACTTTCTTTAAAGAAAAAAAAAAAAGGAAAACAATTCAAGTAATTTTGCATGGGAAGGGGAGTTTGCAACTAAAGATGTTTCTGGGAACAAGGGCCCTGCTTTTCAGAAGGACTTAAAGAACCTGGCATACCTCAGCATCTCTGAATATCAAGGCTGTGGTGTGTTTACTGACTTCTGATCTGGGTTGAGCAGTATTATTTTTTGGGCATATGTATCCTATCATTAGCCAAGAATTTGGTACTTCCTAAAGAATGAAAAAGGAAAACAAAAACATCAGCCTTATTCTTCTTCCTGAGCTTATGCGGTTTTTGCAGAATGGTTTATGAGATCTTTTATATTTAAGTGCATGGATAATTTTATGCATGAACTCTTGAAGCAAGATCAAAGGTAAAAAAGTTTTTAGAAAAGTAAATTTTAAACTGAGTTCCAGAAGATGTAGGTCCTGAGACTTATCCCCCTGCAGCAGTCATTTGTGAAAATGAACTCCAGGAAAGCCCTGCTCTCAGATTCTTCATTGGTAATTGAGGTTATCCTTGCTCTGATTTATTTTTTTTTTTTAAACTCATGATACTTCTGAGATTGATACAGTCAAAAAATGTTAGCTGGTGCAGAGGTTGGTATCTGCCTGCCTATGAAGGGAGATGCTGACTTACAGCACTGCCTGCACAGCACAAAGTTCTCTAAATGTTAAATGGGCAGATTGTTTCCTTCCTCATTTTCACAGGAGGAGGAGATTTGAGCAGCAGTTTCTTAGCCGACTGAAGTAAACTTTGGAATCCCTGCAAAACATAAACTGTGAACTGAACATTATCAACAGAACATTATTGGGAACAAATATTAAATGAATGTGATTGATAGAAGTGAGGTGTAACAGCGCATCTATTTGAAAACTTACAATACATAAGCCAGTGAATGCTTTCTAATATACAAAAAGTACGTCACTGCCTGCTCATGGATCATTGCAGTATCAGCCACTAATGGTGGTATTTATTTTAAGATAAAAACTGTATCCAGAAATGTAGTCAATGTAACTTTCCGGTTTGAAAAATAGACCCTTGGAAACGCTGCAGAAAATAATTAGGAAAATCATTCCTGTTATTTTGAATCAGTGTATTTGTTATTATTATTATTATTATTATTATTATTAGCCAGTGTTCCCAAATAACAGACTTTCTTCTTGTCTCTGTAGATCTCATTTGTTTTCTGCAACAGCTTGTGACTTACTTTCTTCTGTGGCTATCATCCCAGAAAAGTGTACTTTGGGATTTATGAAAGAAATCAGGAGAAAGATAACTAACCATAGACCTCTACAGCTGAGGAAGTGGTAGTGATCTAGGATCTGCACTTAAAAAACAAAAAGGACAAACTTTCCTTCCTCAATGGCTGCTTTTAAAAAAAGCAAACTTTCTTCTCCTGTCAATATAACGAATAGTACAATAATATTTTTAATTTCATTGGAAGTTAGGTTCTTACTTTGGCCTTTTAGGAGTCTATGCAGGAGTCTGCTACTAATGAAAATATGTCATCAGCTAGCAACTTGTGATTATGAACAGTTTGTGTCCACAAAAAGGCTAGTACAGTATTTTTTAACTTCTGAGTTTTGCAAGTTTTATGACTTCACCAAAGCATAGATGACCTCATTTAGGAAAAAAACGTCCAAACAATGGGTATGATTCCAGTTCAGAGTATGCATATGCTTTGACCTGTTCTGTGCGTCACTTGGGGTACATACATGGACCAATTAGACCAACCTGATGACTAGATGAGAACAGAGCAAGCCCTCTGATGGATAGATGAGCAATCTCAGCTACGTTCTTCAATCTAGATTCACTTCACATCCTGCCCAAGCCCATTAAACTTATTTGAATGTTTCAAATACTGGTTTCATTGCTGGTACTTCAAATTAACATCTATTGGTAAATCACACCTTTCAGAACTAGACAGTAAAAACAGCCAGCCTCATGAATCACCCTGCCTTTCCAAAAGGCTATGACTTACGCTAAATAAAATCAGAGTGACGTGAGTTTCAACCTGCACCACAGATCAGTCCATATTTTGAAGAGAACACTTGGAGCACATTAGCATTAGACATCTGCTGCTAGTGTGTTTAGTACCTACTCAGTAAATCATATTCTGTCAGTGCTTTCCTTTTTCCTGGTGAGAAAGGTATTTTCAACACCTGCACATCTCTGGTTCTACATTGACAAAAGACAGTTTCTATGTTGTTTGTATCTCTGCTGGATCCTTCAGAAATCCTTCATTCCCTAAATTATCACTGAAAATGTAACAAGTACAATATATATGGTATTCACCTTTTCAGCTTTTCTATTAGACTATTGTTTCTGATACTGTACTTTATTAAACACTTTACTACAAGCTACAGTAGTACAAGGCTGCTTTTGTGTGTTAAAGAAAATGCATCTTTTCTACCCACTGCCCAGCTTTTTAAGGACGTCCTGCCCCACGGAGCAATAGGAGTTCATTGGGATGTCTGCAGGAAGGGGGATACCCCTCTGACAATGTTAGCGGCAACTACAGCACCAGATGGCTGAGTTAGCTGGATTTACAGGGGTTTAGTAGCCTCCAGGCACACTGAAATGAGTCCCAGATGAAAACTTCTTACTGGTTATGTATGTCCTGCATTTCATTTTAAAAGATCCTAGTCCAAGCCTGCCCAGGTTTTGACTTTTCAAGCTTTAGATGAAGAAATATGTAAAAACAAAACTACAAATTAAGGGTGAATGTCACGAGAATGGAGCCAGGCTCTTCTCAGTGATGCCCAATGATAGGACAAGGGGCAATGGGTGTGAGCTGGAACACAAGAAGTTCTGCTTAAATTTCAGAAGAAACTTCTTTACAGTGAGGGTGACAGAGCACTGGAACAGGCTGCCCAGGGAGGTTGTGGAGTCTCCTTCTCTGGAGACATTCAAAACCCACCTGGACGCCTTTCTATGTGATCTCATTTAGGTTCCTGCTCCGGCAGGGGGATTGGACTAGATGATCTTCGAGGTCCCTTCCAATCCCCAACATTCTGTGATTCTGTGAAATGTGCAGATTTCTCACCACAGAATAGCTGCAAAACATTGAATTTTACCTGTGTGCGTGCAGGTAAAATTTATGCTTAATTTCTGCCTGAAATTACCCCATTCCAAGCCTAAACCACAGCTGGAAGGGCTGGAATAAAGATACAAACAAAGACTGAAGTTGTAAGTGTAGGAAGAATAAAGGCAGAGTGAGAAGCAAAATATACAGGACGATATATAAACAAAATATACAGGAAAAAACTGTCATTTTATTGAGTAATAATACGACAATGTGGATTAAGATATTAAAACATTAGTCATTTCAGAACCTCTTTTTTACAGAGTAGGGATCCCCACCCGGAGTTACTCTGACTCTGGTACAGAGATGCTCTTTCCAGGTGCGTTATCTTCCACCTGTACAGCCTCTCCCCTGGGGCCGAGCAGACCCGGAGCACGGTGGGTGCCAGCGGGGAGCTGTGTGACCAGCCACCCTGCAGCACCGTGGGCTCACAGGGCCTCCACCAGCCCAGGCGTGCGGGAAACTTGCAGAGGCACAGTAAAGCACTTTCTAAAAATATTTTATCCGTACATAAACCCAGGCATTCAGTCCTAGCGTTTGCCTTGAGAATTACGAAACAGCACATCTAGTGACCTAGAAACCAGGAACGGGCATTAATTAAACACAACAGAATCTAATTTTTCCCCCACGCTGCAATAAGCTGCTGGGACAAAGAGAATCCCGTGTAATTAGCTGAGGAGACCCAGCTGGCCCCAAGGCTCGTCATGGCCTGGCTGTGCCTGGGGCTGGGAGCCCCTGCGGCCATAAAGAGCAGCCTCAGGGTGGGAAGGGATTGCTGCTGGTAGGTGGGAATGGAGGAGCTGAGGAAGATGGAGTAGAAGCAAAAGCTGAGATCATCTCTGGCCTGGTTCTTTGGGGCACTGGGAAGAGTGACTGTGTAGCAGCGAGGAGTGGAGACCTGCACTGGGGCCATGGCCAGCAAGGTAGGGCTTCTCGCCCTACTGCTGTGGTTAATGGCAGTAGCC